GAACTTTAGCGTATGCTCCGCCCTATATCGGAATTGGCGTCAGCGACTGATGCCATTACTCAGGATCTTAAGCAAGTAAATCCTGATCGACTGGATCATCTCCCAACTATGATGCTGTGGCAGGGCAAGGTGCTCACTGACCTGGGTGAGCACCTTCAGTCAAGGCTTCCTCTCTTTTTCTTCATGGGATTCGGAGTTTCAACGGAAACTATTCCACCAACCCTGGTCGTCGTCGACACTGTTTAACAACGTCATTCATGAAATTTATCTGGAGGTGTGTGAATTTGCCAAAGGGGAGACTGCTTTGAAAGCTTTTCAAAAGGGACAACGTCCTTCCCCCATGCCATCCAACACCTACCAGCCTCGACGACCGTCTGTTTGGCGTGCCAGAAATCCAGCGCTGTCTCCTGGCAGGGGACGTGGTGCCAAGCCTAGATCAGACAGGGGAGGATATCAACGTCACCGTGCTCCCACCCAGGGCGACGGGCGTAGGGTCAAGTGAAGTGAGGGACATGCACGACTGGACACTCCCACCTCCAGTTGTCCCAGTTTATCCTACACCCGGTAGGTGGGTGAATAGGGATCTTTTGGGAAAATTGGTCCATCCTAGAGGATCCATACATCACCGATATATTGAGCCAGGGGTTTCGGCTCCCCCTCCTCTCCGATCCACCTCTGACACTGTTCCCGCTCCGACACAATCACTCCCAGATTCAACACGACCTCTTAGTGGAGAACATAGCTATTCTGTTGGAGAAAAGAGCCGTCGAATTACTCCCGCATCCCGTCACAACACCAGGGTTTTATTCTCCAATATTCTTAGTGCCGAAAAAAGTGTCCACGAAAATGAGGATGATTCACAATCTGTCCTATTTCAACGAGACTTTCCTGGAATGTCCTCCGCACTTCCCGAATGACGTCCCTCGAATACCTCAAATCTATTGTATGCGTCAACGACTTCCTCATCAGCCTGGACCTGCAGGATGCATACCTCCATGTTCCAATATGTCCTAGCGACAGGAAGTACCTGCACTTTATTTTCAACAATCAACATTTCCAATGTGCTGTCCTCCCATTTGGAATTTCAACGGCCCCGTGGTTGTTCACGTGTATCACAACTCCTATTTCCCGGTTTCTTCATTTGAGGGGCATCATTTTCGACCCGTACCTGGACGATTGCCTTATGCACCTGTTAGACCGTCTGCTTCTTGCTTCTTATACAACAACGGGATTTCACCCTCAGTCTGTTGCCCCAACTAGGTTGGCTAGTCAACTTGGACAAATCGGAGCTTGTCCTGTCTCTGATTCCACGTGCGCTATCCGAACCTCTGTCTCTCTGAGAGTGGCAGGCACTCCTGGGATTGTTGACGTCGGCGCTGGACCTTACCAGCAGAGGGCGTCTTCTACTTCATCCTCTGCAGGGCTTTCTCCAACCATCCATTCGTCGGGCAGACGGTTTTGTCTTCCACCTCAGTTACATCGCTATCTTCTTTGGTGAACTTGCTCATTGAACGTCTTAGGAGGAGTTTCTTTGACAGAGCGGCCTCCGGATTACCAACTGTTCGTGGACGCCTCCATGCAGGGTTGGGGCGCTCACTTACACGACCAGACAGCCGTCGGCCTTTGGTCGGGTCAACACATAAACTGGCATATAAACAGTCTGGAGTTGGAGGCCGTGATCCGCGCTATTCATCACTGGGCGCATCGACTACGAGGAACTTGTCTGCTGGTGGCCACAGACAACACCACGGTGGTATGGTACATCCAGAAGCAAGGGTCGATACGCTCAGTTTCTGCTCGATCAGACTTTTCGGCTCTTTCAACTGGTTGACGATCTCCACATTCTGTTGAAAGTTCAGCATATTCCGGGGTGCCGCAATATACTAGCAGACGCTCTCGCGAGACCAAACAGAGTTGCTCCCATGGAATGGATGCTACACAAGTCACGCACTGGGTTCTCCAAACATAGATCTGTTTGCCACCAGCCAAAACCATCAACTGCCAGTGTATGTGTCCCCAGTCCGGATCCAGCGGCTTGGGCGGTGGATGCTCTCAGCCTATCGTGGGAGGGGCTTCACGCGTATGCGTTACTGCCACCAGTTCTACTACCCAAAGTTCTCACAAAAGTCAAGGAGACAACTTGCCTTCGACTGATTTTGGTCGTGCCTTGGTGGCCGGCCAGGAACTGGTTTCCCGTTCTAAAAAGTCTAGTGGTAGGAGATCCCTTCCCTCTACTCACATTCCCATGCACCCTCACAGCCGACTCCCGCATCCTGCTCCAGATCAGTTCAATCTGCACGCATGGATCATTTGCAAAAAGCACCGAGTGCTAAGGGGTTTTCGGCCAGAGCAGCCAAAGCCATTGCGACGGCGCACAGAACTTCTACTAGACACTTGTATGATGACAAGTGGCAGTCGTTTGAAGGATTTTGTGTTACCAGGAAGCAGGATCCGCTGAAAGTGTCTCCTCAGTTCATAGCAGATTTCGGGCGGTGGGGTAGCCTAGTGGTTAAAGCGTTGGCTCGTCACGCCGAAGACCCGGGTTCGATTCCCCACATGGGCACAATGTGTTAAGCCCATTTCTGGTGTCCCCCGCCGTGATATTGCTGGAATATTGCTAAAAGCGGCGTAAAACTAAACTCAGTCAGTCAGTCAGTAATAGCAGATTTCCTACTTTATCTCCGAACGTCCAGGCGTCTGAAGGGAGGCACCATTGCCACGTATTTGGTGGCAATTAGCTCAGTTTTAGCGGTCCCCACTGACAGAAGGAATTTCTAAAATCCCAGAATTACAGGCCATGCTTAGTTCGTTCACACTTGAAGACCAGAAGTTGAAGTTTCATCCGCCGGCATGGAATCTCAACACTGTTTTAGACCATCTCCGTGGTGCACCTTATGAACCTCTTGAGAACGCTTCCCTTGCTGATTTATCCAGGAAGACGGCTTTCTTTTAGTCTCTAGCGATTGCGGCTAGATTGAGTGAGGTTCATGCCCTTGACGTGACTAGGGTCAAGTTTGAACGTCGTCGTCATGGTTCTGTGCATTTGGGTCTGTGTCGAAATTTCATCGCTAAAAACCAACTACCAGGTCAACCTGATCGACAGTTTTCCATTCCACCATTATCATCTATTGTTGGCACTGAAGACGATGCTGAATTGCTTTTATGTCCGGTTCATGCGCTGAAAACTTACATTGATCGCACCAAAGGTGTCCGTGGTACAAGGAAACGGTTAGTTCTTCCCTTATTTCAGGCGTCAGTCAGATGTCAGCAAAAACACAATTGCTTTATGGTTAAGAACGACCATTCTTCAGGCATATAAAGCGGCTGGGCTGTACCCTCCTACGTCCTCTCATCCACACGAGATTCGAGCTCTTGTTTCGACTATTGCACTTCACAGTAATTGTACTGTGTCATCCATTATGCAAGGTTGTTTTTGGCAGTCGGACACAGTTTTTGCCAGTCATTATTTGCATGACATGGCTGTCAAGGACGTTAACGATGTCCACAGCTTCAGACCATTGGTGGTTGCTCAGCAACTCGCCATTCCCCGAAGTAAGTGACCCTCCTGCCTTGTGTTTTTCTTCCGACGGACCACCATGTGGGGAATGAGTATATTTAGATTTTACTGAAACTGTTCTCACTTGTCCTTATAAACAAATGATGTAGGTATAAAGTGACAATAGAAATTTTATCATTGTAGCTGGAATTCAGGTAGAAATTTTGAATTGAAGTTAAATGTTCCCATATGGGAGCATTGGCAGGATCATCGTTAAAATCAATATATTCACATAAACTGCTTTAATAGATAAGAAAAACAACGAATGGACTGGTCAATTCTTATTTCAAATTATATATTTTATCCTTTTTGATAAAGCCAATGAATTTATTATTGGATTTTGTGTCCCTTTTGACAGCAATATGATTGGCAAGACATATGCGGACATCGCCTTTAAAATGTCTCGCTTGCATCCCAAGTGCACTGTCATCAGGCTCTCCATTGTTCTCGGAGCCCATGGTTTGGTACCTCCTGATATCTTGGCGCCAGTGTTCTCAGAGCCCATGGTTTGGTACCTCCTGATATCTTGGTGCAGATCAGGAGAGTGCCCTGCATCTCCACTGAGAGCACAGCCCTTCTGACACTGGGTAAAGCAGAAGGCTGCTGTGTTGGGGAGTCAACATATTCTCGGGAAAGCTCTTGGTGGGTTCGACTAGGCAGCCTTTCCTGGGAGAAGTCCCATTCACTGTTTTGGCTGCATGTAATGGTGAGCTGATGACCCTTACCAGCCTGAATGCCAGGATCACCTGAACCCTCTCTGTTGCATGCTATTTAATCTGTAAAAGATAATAATAATATATTTCCATGCATACAGGATGCTCAGTGGCACTTTGTACAGGAGCTATAAGACAAAGCCATTCAGAATAACTAGTCAAAGGCTAGCTTGATGAGGTGTGTCTTTAAAAGAGTCTTTAAATGAGGTTTGTCAGAGACAGACCTTACCAGGATCTTACCTCACTCACACAAGCTTAAATTTGTCTGATTCCAGTAGCGTCTTCAAATGGCTTTATATGTAGATCTGAATGTTGTCAGCATAGAGATGAAACATCAAACCTATTATTTCACCTCTTTTGCAAAATTGCCAAATGTGTGCAACACTGTTGACATATGATGTCACAACTGGTGACCGATTTCTCCAAAATGGCTAATTCATTGTCGTCAGAATTCAGGACTTTGTGAGGAATCTTTCATTGATCAGAAATCATTTGTGCATAAATTTGTGATGTAAGTAATCAGAAACATTGTGACTGTCTGTGTTGTAACAAAGATCAGTAGTGATTTCCCGTATGAGGAATACAGAGATGTCCATGGGGCAGCAATGTGTGAAATATATGTGATGTGATAGGCGTCTCAACACTGGTCTACCCTCAGTATCATTTTGCAACGTATGTTGGGGAAGGTATGTTGGAACCCTTCACAACTAATTGTCATTCTTTCGCTTCAGATTTGTGAACTGATAAATCAGCTGATCCAAGCGAGGGAGGCCATTGCCAGTGCCCAACAAGCCACACCCAAGCCCAAGAGGCGTAGCTTTGCAGCCTGGCTCATCTCCTTCTTGTTTGATTCCAAGCACTATAGTGAAATCAATGACAGCAAGAAGCTATTACTGCATCTCAACCAGTCACTCAAGAATTTGTCAGAAATATTCAAGGTGAGAGTAACTATGGTCGTAAATATGTGTCAAATATTTAATGCTTAACAAGTCTCTATGGTTGTTGTGTGTGAGATACTCAAGGTGGTCCCTTGGTTGTAATGTCAGAAATATTCAAGGTGAGAGTAACTTTGGTCGTAAATATGTGTCAGATATTTAATGCTTAACAAGTCTCTATGGTTGTTGTGTGTGAGATACTCAAGGTGGTCCCTTGGTTGTAATGTCAGAAATATTCAAGGTGAGAGTAACTATGGTTGTAAATATGTGTCAGATATTTAATGCTTAACAAGTCTCTATGGTTGTTGTGTGTGAGATACTCAAGGTGGTACCTTGGTTGTAATGTCAGAAATATTCAAGGTGAGAGTAACTATGGTCGTAAATATGTGTCAGATATTTAATGCTTAACAAGTCTCTATGGTTGTTGTGTGTGAGATACTCAAGGTGGTCCCTTGGTTGTAATGTCAGAAATATTCAAGGTGAGAGTAACTATGGTCGTAAATATGTGTCAGATATTTAATGCTTAACAAGTCTCTATGGTTGTTGTGTGTGAGATACTCAAGGTGGTCCCTTGGTTGTAATGTCAGAAATATTCAAGGTGAGAGTAACTATGGTCGTAAATATGTGTCAAATATTTAATGCTTAACAAGCCTCTAGGGTTGTTGTGTGTGAGATACTCAAGGTGGTCCCTTGGTTGTAATGTCAGAGATACTCAAGGTGGTCCCTTGGTTGTAATGTCAGAAATATTCAAGGTGAGAGTAACTATGGTCGTAAATATGTGTCAAATATTTAATGCTTAACAAGTCTCTAGGGTTGTTGTGTTTGAGATACTCAAGGTGGTCCCTTGGGATTTTCATTCACTTGACTAGAAAAAAGGCCCCCATAAAAATGGGTCATGATGGTTGTATTGTCAGAGATATTCAAGATGACAGGTGTTATGATGGTTGTAATGTCAGAGATGTTCAAGATGACAGGTGTTATGATGGTTGTAACGTCAGAGATGTTCAAGATGACAGGTGTTATGATGGTTGTAATGTCAAGAGATATTCAAGATGACAGGTGTTATGATGGTTGTAACGTCAGAGATGTTCAAGATGACAGGTGTTATGATGGTTGTAATGTCAGATATTCAAGATGACAGGTGTTATGATGGTTGTAATGTCAGAGATATTCAAGATGACAGGTGTTATGATGGTTGTAATGTCAGAGATATTCAAGATGACAGGTGTTATGATGGTTGTAATGTCAGAGATGTTCAAGATGACAGGTGTTATGATGGTTGTAATGTCAGAGATATTCAAGATGACAGGTGTTATGATGGTTGTAATGTCAGAGATATTCAAGATGACAGGTGTTATGATGGTTGTAATGTCAGATGTTCAAGATGACAGGTGTTATGATGGTTGTAATTGTCAGAGATATTCAAGATGACAGGTGTTATGATGGTTGTAATGTCAGAGATATTCAAGATGACAGGTGTTATGATGGTTGTAATGTCAGAGATATTCAAGATGACAGGTGTTATGATGGTTGTAATGTCAGAGATATTCAAGATGACAGGTGTTATGATGGTTGTAATGTCAGATATTCAAGATGACAGGTGTTATGATGGTTGTAATGTCAGAGATATTCAAGATGACAGGTGTTATGATGGTTGTAACGTCAGAGATGTTCAAGATGACAGGTGTTATGATGGTTGTAACGTCAGAGATGTTCAAGATGACAGGTGTTATGATGGTTGTAATGTCAGATATTCAAGATGACAGGTGTTATGATGGTTGTAATGTCAGAGATATTCAAGATGACAGGTGTTATGATGGTTGTAATGTCAGATGTTCAAGATGACAGGTGTTATGATGGTTGTATTGTCAGAGATATTCAAGATGACAGGTGTTATGATGGTTGTAATGTCAGATATTCAAGATGACAGGTGTTATGATGGTTGTAATGTCAGATATTCAAGATGACAGGTGTTATGATGGTTGTAATGTCAGATGTTCAAGATGACAGGTGTTATGATGGTTGTAACGTCAGAGATGTTCAAGATGACAGGTGTTATGATGGTTGTATTGTCAGAGATATTCAAGATGACAGGTGTTATGATGGTTGTAATGTCAGAGATGTTCAAGATGACAGGTGTTATGATGGTTGTAATGTCAGAGATGTTCAAGATGACAGGTGTTATGATGGTTGTAATGTCAGAGATGTTCAAGATGACAGGTGTTATGATGGTTGTAATGTCAGAGGTGTTCAAGATGACAGGTGTTATGATGGTTGTAATGTCAGAGATATTCAAGATGACAGGTGTTATGATGGTTGTAATGTCAGAGATATTCAAGATGACAGGTGTTATGATGGTTGTAACGTCAGAGATGTTCAAGATGACAGGTGTTATGATGGTTGTAATGTCAGATATTCAAGATGACAGGTGTTATGATGGTTGTAATGTCAGAGATATTCAAGATGACAGGTGTTATGATGGTTGTAATGTCAGAGATATTCAAGATGACAGGTGTTATGATGGTTGTAATGTCAGAGATATTCAAGATGACAGGTGTTATGATGGTTGTAATGTCAGAGATGTTCAAGATGACAGGTGTTATGATGGTTTATTGTAATGTCAGAGGTGTTCAAGATGACAGGTGTTATGATGGTTGTAATGTCAGAGATATTCAAGATGACAGGTGTTATGATGGTTGTAATGTCAGATGTTCAAGATGACAGGTGTTATGATGGTTGTAATGTCAGAGATGTTCAAGATGACAGGTGTTATGATGGTTGTAATGTGAGATATTCAAGATGACAGGTGTTATGATGGTTGTAATGTCAGATGTTCAAGATGATAGGTGTTATGATGGTTGTAACGTCAGAGATGTTCAAGATGACAGGTGTTATGATGGTTGTAATGTCAGATGTTCAAGATGACAGGTGTTATGATGGTTGTAATGTCAGAGATGTTCAAGATGACAGGTGTTATGATGGTTGTAATGTCAGAGATATTCAAGATGACAGGTGTTATGATGGTTGTAATGTCAGAGATGTTCAAGATGACAGGTGTTATGATGGTTGTAATGTCAGAGATATTCAAGATGACAGGTGTTATGATGGTTGTAATGTCAGATATTCAAGATGACAGGTGTTATGATGGTTGTAATGTCAGAGATGTTCAAGATGACAGGTGTTATGATGGTTGTAATGTCAGATATTCAAGATGACAGGTGTTATGATGGTTGTAATGTCAGAGATGTTCAAGATGACAGGTGTTATGATGGTTGTAATGTCAGAGATATTTCAAGATGATAGGTGTTATGATGGTTGTAATGTCAGAGATGTTCAAGATGACAGGTGTTATGATGGTTGTAATGTCAGAGATATTTAAGATGATAGGTGTTATGATGGTTGTAATGTCAGAGATATTCAAGATGACAGGTGTTATGATGGTTGTAATGTCAGAGATATTCAAGATGACAGGTGTTATGATGGTTGTAATGTCAGAGATGTTCAAGATGACAGGTGTTATGATGGTTGTAATGTCAGAGATATTCAAGATGACAGGTGTTATGATGGTTGTAATGTCAGAGATATTCAAGATGACAGGTGTTATGATGGTTGTAATGTCAGAGATATTCAAGATGACAGGTGTTATGATGGTTGTGATGTCAGATATTCAAGATGACAGGTGTTATGATGGTTGTAATGTCAGAGATGTTCAAGATGACAGGTGTTATGATGGTTGTAATGTCAGAGGTGTTCAAGATGAGAGGTGTTCCCCAACACTGCAGCCTTCTGCATTACCGAGAGTGTCAGAAGGGCTGTGCTCCCGGTGGAGAGCTCGGGCACTGTCCTGATCTGGGCCAAGATATCAGGAGGTACCAAACCAAGGGCACCGAGAACAATGGGGAGCCTGATGACAGTATTATTATTAAATATGACCAGTAAGCACATTTTCACTGCTTTGAATTGCATGTTGATGGATTGTGTCCTGTTTCAGATCACACTGCCTGATGAGCTCCAGGACATGACGCTGCCTGCTGATGCAAGTCTACAGAACAGTCTGTTCAGGATTGGTCAACACCACCCACACCTGACTGTATTGAGACCAACCCACAGCCCGGTTCTCGACCCGGTTCTCACAGAACATGGCAGATATCAGGTAATAGTTCACCCACAGGCCCAGTTCTCACAGAACATGGCCAGGTAATAGTTCACCCACAGGCCGGTTCTCACAGAACATTGCAGGTATCTCACAGAATATGGCAGATATCAGGATATCAGCAGATATCAGGTAAGTTAGTTCACCACTGTTCACCCACAGACCCTGTTCTCACAGAATATGACAGATATCAGGTAATAGTTCACCCACAGGCCCGGTTCTCACAGAACATGGCAGATATCAGGTAATAGTTCACCCACAGGCCCAGTTCTCACAGAACATGGCAGATATCGGGTAATAGTTCACCCACAGGCCCGGTTCTCACAGAATATGACAGATATCAGGTAATAGTTCACCCACAGGCCCAGTTCTCACAGAACATGGCAGATATCAGGTAATAGGTCACCCACAGGCCCGGTTCTCACAGAACATGGCAGATATCAGGTAATAGTTCACCCACAGGCCCGGTTCTCACAGAATAAGGCAGATATCAGGTATTAGGTCACCCACAGGCCCTGTTCTCAGTTCACCCACAGGCCCGGTTCTCACAGAATATGACAGATATCAGGTAATAGTTCACCCACAGGCCCGGTTCTCACAGAACATGGCAGATATCAGGTAATAGTTCACCCACTGACCCTGTTCTCACAGAACATGGCAGATATCAGGTAATAGTTTACCCACAGGCCCGGTTCTCACAGAATATGACAGATATCAGGTAATAGTTCACCCACAGGCCCGGGTCTCACAGAATATGACAGATATCAGGTAATAGTTCACCCACTGACCCTGTTCTCACAGAACATGGCAGATATCAGGTAATAGTTTACCCACAGGCCCGGTTCTCACAGAACATGGCAGATATCAGGTAATAGTTCACCCACAGGCCAGAATATGACAGATATCTCACACAGAACATGGCAGATATCAGGTAATAGTTCACCCACAGGCCCGGTTCTCACAGAATATGGCAGATATCAGGTAATAGTTCACCCACAGGCCCGGTTCTCACAGAATATGGCAGATATCAGGTAATAGTTCACCCACTGACCCTGTTCTCACAGAATAAGGCAGATATCAGGTAATAGTTCACCCACAGGCCCGGTTCTCACAGAATATGGCAGATATCAGGTAATAGTTCACCCACTGACCCTGTTCTCACAGAACATGGCAGATATCAGGCAGGTAACAGTTCAACCACAGGCCCTGTTCTCATAGAACATGGCAGATATCCGGTAATGGTTCATCCACAGGCCCGGTTCTCATAGAACATGGCAGATATCCGGTAATGGTTCAACCACAGGCCCGGTTCTCATAGAACATGGCAGATATCCGGTAATGGTTCATCCACAGATTGTGTTTTTTTTGTCTCATACTATTCATTCACCAGATGATGGAGTAAGGATATACTCAGTAATATTGTGTTCCTGATATGAAAAAAGTTGACATCCATGAAAATCTTACAATAGCCTCCTTGTTTTACAATATATGTAGGTAGTTGTGATGTATCCACTATTTCATGTTTAGTGAGAGCTGTCTAAATATGGATTTCATGTTACACGACATTTGTTATTATGCAATCCTCTCTGTCACATCAACATTTGTGTGGCAGGTTGTGAACGGACTACGGAAGTTTGACATCACATACCAGGGTGACCCGGACCTGCAGCCCATCAGGAGTTTTGAGAACGCAACTCTTGTCCGCATCCTGCACCAGCTCTGTTCCTTCATCAACTGCCAGGTATAGTTAGTCATATAACTATCCACAGATAACTTTCTTGTAGATCAATGTTACTCACTTGTAGGTCACTGATTACTTACTTGTAGGTCACTGATTACCTACTTGTAGATAACTGATTACTTAGGCATTTGTGGTGTCCCCCGCCGCGATATTGCCGGAATATAAGCGGCGTCATACCAAACTCACTCACTTACTTGTAGGTCACTTACTTGTAGGTCACTGATTACTTGTAGGTCACTGATTACTTGTATTGCTTGTTGTTGTAACAGACAGGTCCAGAGAACTACAGAAATCTTTATTACATTAGGGATTTGTCGAACCCACCAAGAACTTTTCGACTCCCCAACACTGCAACCTTCTGCATTACCCAAATTGTCAGAAAGGCAGTGTTGCTGGCCATCAAGAGATCAAGAGGTACCAAACCTAAGACACCAGGAATGATGGGGAGGGAGTTGGGCAACTTGGTACATGGGATGGAAGTGTGACATTTCAGAGGCAAATTGCACATATGTGCCATGTCCTTCCTGAATCTTGTCAATCTCATTTGTGAGGAAAGGGACAGAATGATATAAATAATTGTATTTGTTTCATCTAAAGTGACAACGCTGACTTATTCTGGGTTGTGTCATGGATGTAATTATACAAACAAGCCACATGGTGAACATCTTCTGTTCCGTCTGCTTCCAGCTACTGCAGTAATTTGCTGGCACTTGTCTCCATACTGAGTCATAGCTTGTGCAATTTCACATCTTGAACTCTTAAACTTTGACACTACAAAACACATGATTCACCACCATTACAAACTCAACATTTCATGTTCTTAGTTTGGTGGCCATAGCCTAAATCAATTCATTTACAAAATCGCCCAGCCACAACATTGGAAATAGTTATATGAAGTTTTGATGCAACTTTTTTCTAATACCCTGTTCTTGTCAGCAAGTGTCGTGGCGTGTCATGGTATGGTGACATGGCACAATGTCATGGCGTGGTGTCATGGTATGGTGACATGGCGTGTTGACATGGCACGGTGTCATGGCACAGTGTCATCACGTGCTGACATGGCACAGTGACATGGCGTGGTGTCATGGTATGGTGACATGGCGTGTTGACATGGCACGGTGTCATGGCACAGTGTCATCACGTGCTGACATGGCACAGTGACATGGCATGGTGACATGGCACAGTGTCATCATGTGGTGACATGGCATAGTGACATGGCATGGTGACATGGCACAGTGTCATCATGTGGTGACATGGCACAGTGTCATCGTGTGGTGACATGGCACAGTGTCATCGTGTGGTGACATGGCACAGTGTCATCGTGTGGTGACATGGCACAGTGTCATCGTGTGGTGACATGGCACAGTGTCATCGTGTGGTGACATGGCACAGTGTCATCATGTGGTGACATGGCACAGTGTCATCGTGTGGTGACATGGCATAGTGTCATTGTGTGGTGACATGGCACAGTGTCATGGTGACATGGCACAGTGTCATCGTGTGGTGACATGGCACACAGTGTCATCGTGTGGTGACATGGCACAGTGTCATCATGTGGTGACATGGCACAGTGTCATCGTGTGGTGACATGGCACAGTGTCATCGATGTGGTGACATGGCACAGTGTCATTGTGTGGTGACATGGCACAGTGTCATCATGTGGTGACATGGCACAGTGTCATCGTGTGGTGACATGGCACAGTGTCATCGATGTGGTGACATGGCACAGTGTCATCGTGTGGTGACATGGCACAGTGTCATCGATGTGGTGACATGGCACAGTGTCATCGTGTGGTGACATGGCACAGTGTCATCGTGTGGTGACATGGCACAGTGTCATCGTCGTGGTGACATGGCACAGTGTCATCGTGTGGTGACATGGCACAGTGTCATCGTGTGGTGACATGGCACAGTGTCATCGTGTGGTGACATGGCACAGTGTCATCGATGTGGTGACATGGCACAGTGTCATCGATGTGGTGACATGGCACAGTGTCATCGTGGTGGTGACATGGCACAGTGTCATCGTGTGGTGACATGGCACAGTGTCATCATGTGGTGACATGGCACAGTGTCATCGTGGTGACATGGCACAGTGTCATCGTGTGGTGACATGGCACAGTGTCATCGTGTGGTGACATGGCACAGTGTCATCGTGTGGTGACATGGCACAGTGTCATCGTGTGGTGACATGGCACAGTGTCATCGTGTGGTGACATGGCACAGTGTCATCGTGTGGTGACATGGCACAGTGTCATCGATGTGGTGACATGGCACAGTGTCATCGGTGTGGTGACATGGCACAGTGTCATCGTGTGGTGACATGGCACAGTGTCATCGTGTGGTGACATGGCACAGTGTCATCGTGTGGTGACATGGCACAGTGTCATCGTGTGGTGACATGGCACAGTGTCATCGTGTGGTGACATGGCACAGTGTCATCGTGTGGTGACATGGCACAGTGTCATCGTGTGGTGACATGGCACAGTGTCATCGTGTGGTGACATGGCACAGTGTCATCGTGTGGTGACATGGCACAGTGTCATCGTGTGGTGACATGGCACAGTGTCATCGTGTGGTGACATGGCACAGTGTCATCGTGTGGTGACATGGCACAGTGTCATCGTGTGGTGACATGGCACAGTGTCATCGTGTGGTGACATGGCACAGTGTCATGGCATGGTGTCTTGGCGTGGGGCAATATTGGATTTTTCAGTGGGCATTTCAGTTTGTAATGGGGACAAAGTATGTTTTTTCAAACTTTGAAGAATTGTCTCAATACATTAAACTATGTTAGCTGTTGGGTTTTACTTCTGAGTTTTGTTATGAAGCAGCAACATCATTTTGAAGATAAGCGTGGTGTTCCATTTACATAAGCTTGAATTTGATAGTGCATATGTTCATTGTATTGTCTGTGCATGGTTGCATTTTGTTTGCGCACACTTTTACAAATGTTTGTAGTGTGTCGTTTTTATTATAGGTATGTTATGTGAGAGCACAGATCCCACAAAACCTGTTTAACCCTTTCACGGACTTGCCTCACAAGAACACTAACTAACCAATTGGTGGACACCCTTATGTTGAGCTGAGACTAATTTGTTATATCTATTTTTACCTGTTTGTGTGAAGCTGATTGTTTGTGTTGCCAATGAATCTCACTAGCTCTCCCTTATAGTTTTGTGGACAGATCAACAGCCTGTACTGTCGGCAGGACCTCGTCGGCCGCATGGCTCAGGTCTACCTGGCCCCGCCACTCCGCCCCCATCACATGCTCAAGTCTCCAACCTCCAAGACAACTGCCGAAGCTCTCCGCCAACCAAGACTGAGTCTGCGGTTCCTGGCCAGTTACCAAACTCTCATCTACCTTGGAATTCTCTACATCTTCCTGCGAATGTGGCTTGGAGCTGGCCCGATGGAGTTTCTTATCATCAATGTGTTTGTGTGTCTGTTGTATGCCTTCCTCAAGGCTGTGATGTCGTCCAGGTCTGTGGTGCCACCTTGATTCAGCAGCTGGACAACATCGGTGTGTTTGTGTGTCTGTTGTATACCTTCCTCAAGGCAGTGATGTCATCCAGGTCTGTGGTGCCACCTTGATCCAGCAGCGGGACAACATCGGTGTGTTTGTGTGTCTGTTGTATACCTTCCTCAAGGCAGTGATGTCGTCCAGGTCTGTGGTGCCACTTTGATCCAGCAGCTGGACAACATCGGTGTGTTTGTGTGTCTGTTGTATGCCTTCCTCAAGGCTGTGATGTCGTCCAGGTCTGTGGTGCCACCTTGATCCAGCAGCTGGACAACATCAGTGTGTGTCTGTTGTATGCCTTCCTCAAGGCAGTGATGTCGTCCAGGTCTGTGGTGCCACCTTGATCCAGCAGCTGGACAACATCGGTGTGTTTGTGTGTCTGTTGTATGCCTTCCTCAAGGCAGTGATGTCGTCCATGTCTGTGGTGCCACCTTGATCCAGCAGCTGGACAACATCGGTGTGTTTGTGTGTCTGTTGTATGCCTTCCTCAAGGCAGTGATGTCATCCAGGTCTGTGGTGCCACCTTGATCCAGCAGCTGGACAACATCGGTGTGTTTGTGTGTGTCTGTTGTATGCCTTCCTCAAGGCAGTGATGTGTCCAGGTCCAGGTCTGTTGTGCCACCTGGATATAGCAGCTGGACAACATCGTGTGTGTTTGTGTGTGTCTGTTGTATGCCTTCCTCAAGGCAGTGATGTGGTCCAGGTCTGTGGTGCCACCTTGATCCAGCAGCTGGACAACATCGGTGTGGTGTGTCTGTTGTATGCCTTCCTCAAGGCAGTGATGTCATCCAGGTCTGTGGTGCCACCTTGATCCAGCAGCTGGACAACATCAGTGTTTGTGTGTCTGTTGTATGCCTTCCTCAAGGCAGTGATGTCGCCCATGTCTGTGGTGCCACCTTGATCCAGCAGCTGGACAACATCGGTGTGTTTGTGTGTGTCTGTTGTATGCCTTCCTCAAGTCAGTGATGTCATCCAGGTCTGTGGTGCCACCTTGATCCAGCAGCTGGACAACATCGGTGTGTTTGTGTGTCTGTTGTATGCCTTCCTCAAGGCAGTGATGTCATCCAGGTCTGTGGTGCCACCTTGATCCAGCAGCTGGACAACATCGGTGTGTTTGTGTGTCTGTTGTATGCCTTCCTCAAGGCAGTGATGTGGTCCAGGTCTGTGGTGCCACCTTGATCCAGCAGCTGGACAACATCGGTGTGTTTGTGTGTCTGTTGTATGCCTTCCTCAAGGCAGTGATGTCGTCCAGGTCTGTGGTGCCACCTTGATCCAGCAGCTGGACAACATCGGTGTGTTTGTGTGTCTGTTGTATGCCTTCCTCAAGGCAGTGATGTCGTCCAGGTCTGTGGTGTCACCTTGATCCAGCAGCTGGATTTCTGTTGAGTGCCTTCCCTGTGATCAGTTCTGTCTGAATGACCTGACACAAGATTTACAATTTTAGTGCAAATATTGATATATCAAACATGGTGCATATTTCTCAAGAGAATTTCCGTTACATTTAAATAATGTTTATGTTATCAGCCAGCCAAGACAATATACTCCCAACTGTGTTTTGAACAAGTCATAGTAAAATTCCATCTTGTGTGTTTTGCTTGTCTCATGTTTTATCTTCAGCTGTTCCTCAGAATGTACTAAATATTTGTACCAAGCCACAGAGGTGAGAGCCTTTTAGACTTTGTCTTCAGCTTTTGTACATATGGAAATAAATATATATTAGCATTAATTTGTTGCCAACTTCTCACCTACATAGCACATTACAGGTCCAACACAGGGTGCTTATACAGACACGTAACCATCACGCCGATAACCCGGCTGTGATACCCCACAGGGGTACAATGTCTGAAGCCCATTTCCGGTGTCCTCGCTGTGATAGTGCTAAAAGTGGTGTAAAACTAAACTCACTCCAACACAGGGTGCATACACACACAACCATCCCAGGTCTACTTGATTGACTGGGTGTGAGACAAGGGCTGAATCCCAGCACAGAACTTGCAGTCTACAACTGGATCAACATATCCATCTCAAAAGACCAGTTTAGAAAAGGTATTTATTCACATAATATATACATTGATTAGAAATGTACAGAAAATGACGTTTATGCTGACCCCATTAAAGGGTTTACAATACATTTTCTCAATATTATTGAGACACGGCTGTGGATCCTGGGTTAACTGCTGTCCACTATCAGCTCACATGCATCAGCTCCCTCACAACTAAGGACGTAAGTACAGATTCATCACCACTCAATTCTTGTGATTGGGCCCTTTGACCAATAACATTGGAAATGTCTTTACAAACAGAAAAGTTCAGTCAGTACTCCGTCCTAATTTTAAAGATATCAGTAGGTGTGAAGAAAGCAGTCACTTCCATGGTGCTGAATATATATATATTTTTAGTTTTGTGTAACCAGTTTCCAGAGTCTAAACAAATGTGTCCCCCCGCTTGGCCTGTCCCTACTTCTTGAGCAGCATACTTCTGAAGTCTGCATTACTCATCCCAGCTGTTAACCTGTCAGACTGCTGCTGTCCATTGGCAGAGTCGGCACTGATGGTGGACGTCTTGGGCGGGGCTGAACCTTGCTTTACAGATCTTGGGACTAACGCAACCTGAGTCCTGACCTTGCCTCGCCTGAAATGATGTTTAATAGTTTGATGGGTATATGTTAGCAAAACTTATGGCAGCACTGAAAGGTGATTTACTTGAGTCAGTAATGTAGCCAACCGTCGAGTAATCATCTGACTTACTATCTTGACATAATGGTATATTTCTCAGCATTATTCACCACTTTTGATTATTCATGTGTCAGTATCTATATAAGTCTAGATTATTTATTATGTTTTACAGATTAAAGATAATATGAAACAGAAAGGGCTCGGGTGATCCTGGCAGATCAGCTCAGGGCCCTCGCCCCCTCTAACCCTCTACACGCAGCCCAGACAGCGAATGGGACTTCTCTCAGGCAACACTGCCTAGTCGAACCCACCAAGATCTTTTCGGAGAATATGTAGACTCCCCAACACTGCAGCCTTCTGCATTACCCAGAGTGTCAGAAGGGCTGTGTTCCTGGTGGAGAACCCTGGCACTCTCCTGATCAGGAGGTACCAACCAAGGGCACCGAGAACAATGGGGAGCCTGACGATGTTCAAACATGTGATAGGGTGGAAGTTTTTGGGATCAGTCAAGTCTCCTTTTTTGGGAAGGAGTATTGTGCGACCTTTGCAGAACCATGGAGGAACATCATCTGTGTCCACGAGAGTATTGAAACAGTGAAGTAATGGTGTTTGGACACAGGGGAATAGTTTCCAGTAATGCCATCAGGCCCTGGCTGTGTATTAGATTTGGACTTTTTGATAACACTTTTCAGGCAATCTGGTGAGATGTAACAGACAAACGACCTAGTTACTTTCTCATGCATTGCATGGTCATAATCAAGGACCCATGGTGCCTCAAGGTTACAGTCGCTGGGTACAGACCACAACTCTTTCCAGAACCTTTTATTGGCATCCATGGGAGGCTGCTTATCATGCTCACCATCACCGTTTGTTTATTATTTCTAAAAAGTTTATTTTGTTTGATGAATTTATTTTTCTTTTCACATTTTTTCTTTCTCTCAGTCCAAACCTATATTTTTGCCTTTAGGGAATTGACAATTTGGAGAAGTATCTTTTCTTTCGTTGTCTTATAGAGTAATTTTAATTTTCGCCAAATTGACTTTTGTCGTTAAGATCATCAGGGAATCCCATGTCTAAACAGCTCTATCCAGGAAATATATTTTCTAGTTTCCGTCAGTTTTACTTGAAACCGTTTTTTCTTTGGTGTATTGTTCTTAGTATAAGATGAGGTTTCTTTGGAAACCATGTGAAGTTTCTCCAAGGCTCGAGCGGCAGCATAGACACAGCAGTTAACTTCATGTAATGAACAGTCCACAGAAAGTTTCATAGAAATAATGTCATTTAATAAATTAATTTCATTTTTGGGAAAAGATTCACTTGTTTCCTTCATTGGTCTCCGTTTTTCTAAAGGAATGTCAGATATTTCATCATAAATAGAATAAAAAAAAATATGCACAGGATTTTCTGAAAGATCTGGAACTGAGGAAGAGGAAGAGTGAGGATCCAAAATTTCGGGGCCAATTTGCTCCATGCTGGAAGAGCTTCCACCAGGATGAGGAGAGAGGTTAACGCGGACATCCATCAGAAGTTTTGGGTCTGCTGCCGCCGGAATTGATCTCGGAGATTTTGCTCCGTCAGGAAAGCATAATAGGGCATGGCATTGTCCCAATGCAGCTTAAACGACTTGCCATTGATGCATTTATTATCAGGCCATCCTGTCGCTCTCGCACACTCTAGTAGTAGTAGATGGTTTGACCAAGATATCCTTGGCGGGGTTCTGTGCCTTCCCCTGGGGCAAGTCCCATCTCCAGTGTGGTTGGTTTCATTACCGGAGAAAGGCTGACTGGGCTGCAGAGTTAGGGCTAATCCCCCGAAGCTGGTTTTCTTCTAACTGGGTGATATACATTTAGTTCAAGGAATAAAAAATTCCCTTATCTAGGTCCACCACAGAGTGGCGTACATCATCAGGCCCTATTTATTATTAACAATTGACCTGGAATATTTACAGGGAACTGGGTGAACCACATATCTACTAACAGTTCAGTTCCTTTCTTGCCACTTCCCAGGGACAGTGTATGTGCCTCCCTCCATGTGTCCGGCTGTTTGCGAGGAGGGGGGTTGCTGATAGCCACGTTGATTGTATGCTCCCCGACCAGGAGTCCGTCTGTCTTCATCACAGCCTGTGCTGCCTCGTCCTTACAAGCATGGATATAGCATGTGAAAACAATCAACCGATAATTGCGAGGAACAAATTATCTCAGAAACTTATAGAAATAGTCACTATGAAATGCTGATTTTACAATACCCTGTAGATCTATGACATTGGTTACGTATAGGAGAAAACACGCCCCCAAGGTAGGCTTTACATTCTCTACCAAAACCGAGGGGAAGTGTTGTCCCTAACGTATAAACCGTCAATGATGGATAGTTATTATGTAGATGATCATTTAATGAAGCTACATAACAATAACTAATGCGTAAGTAAAATCAATTTAATGACAGTAACTATAAATAGATAGTTCAACTTCGTTGGCTCGGTGGCCGTGAGGTAGAGCTTCCGCTTATTAACCCGATAGATGCGGTTCTATTCCTGCTTGGGAAAACATTTGCACTTTGAAGTTGATCTTGGACGATATTTTTCAATTGATTTCAAACACTCATATATCATTTTAATGTTCATGTTCATATAGAGTTAGGAAAAAGTAAAACCTGAAAGCAAACGAAAACCTCAAATGCAGTTATTCGGGAAAATAAGAGATGCTTAATATATAGTGAGAAGCACACTTCAGGTTTATATTTAGGATGAGGAGATACTGCAGCACTGAGATTAATTACTTCCCTTACCTCTGTATGGAGCTCTACATACGTGATGCCTCTCTAAGATTGGTCGCCTTCACTTACCTCTGTTTCGAACTCAACATATGCGATCCCTTTAGACGTGCCATTCCTGTAGGTTACAAGACGAACTTCCTTCAACTTGCCATGCTGGGGAGGAACCACGATTAATTAAGGATCATATTGGACATTATGCCATTTTGTGACTGAACTTCTGTGATGTAACAAACATAACAGATTAACAAGAGAGGAAAATCATAACTGATGCAGGCCTGTAGCGGTGAACCCCATAAATGTTGCTGCCCACGTACATCAAATGTACAAAGTGAATGTTATGCATATGACTTAATACAGGTGGTGGATATAACACATACACATATGACTAATTAATTATTGTCTTGGAGACTGGACTCACCTGCTTGAAGATGTTGGTGACAGCTTCCTTGTTGCAGGTAAATGGGAGGCCTTTCACAAACAGTTTGTTCTTTTCAATCTCTGTTGCAAACTGAAACAGTGAAAGTTTTGTTTGCTTGTTTAACATCCAGCAATAGTCCAGCTGTTAACACCGCCCTCAGCAATAGTCCAGCTGTTAACACCGCCCTCAGCAATAGTCCAGCTGTTAACACCGCCCTCAGCAATAGTCCAGCTGTTTCAGCAATAGTCCAGCTGCCCTCAGCAATAGTCCAGCTGTTAACACCGCCCTCAGCAATAGTCCAGCTGTTAACACCGCCCTCAGCAATAGTCCAGCTGTTAACACCGCCCTCAGCAATAGTCCAGCTGTTAACACCGCCCTCAGCAATAGTCCAGCTGTTAACACCGCCCTCAGCAATAGTCCAGCTGTTAACACCGCCCTCAGCAATATTCCAGCTGTTAACACCGCCCTCAGCAATATTCCAGCTGTTAACACCGCCCTCAGCAATATTCCAGCTGTTAACACCGCCCTCAGCAATATTCCAGCTATATGGCAGCGGGCTGTAAGTAATCAAGTCTGGACCAGACAATCCAGTGATCAACAATGAGCATCGATCTACGCAGTTCGGAGACTATGACCAAGTAAACCAAGTCGTCCGTCCTGACCACCATATTGAAATAAAAGCCAGTAAAAATGTTTCACTGCCAAAATGAGATGAATATTCAAATCTTGAAGAAATACTTTACTGTTTGAAGTGTTATGTTTATGTAAAGTGAAGCTAATGGTGGAAAGGAGCTAATGGTCGACAGGAACAAACCAGGCTATTGAGCACATAGTTTAACAATATACTTGAGAAATTATTGACCTTAAACTGTGCTTTAGACTTGGAGGTTGATCGGTCTTCACACTTGGAGACAAACATTGGCCGACCTTCAATCAACTCGCGGTCTTGTTTCAGAGCTTCCAGGACACAAAACTGAAAATACATGAGGGGAAAAAATGAAATCTACATCACCGATATCAGTCACAGAGTTCTACATCACAGCGGGCAAGATCACAGAGATGTACACCACAGAGATGTACACCATGGAGATGTCCATCACGGAGATGTACACCATGGAGATGTCCATCACGGAGATGTACACCATGGAGATGTCCATCACGGAGATGTACACCATGGAGATGTCCATCACGGAGATGTACACCATGGAGATGTCCATCACGGAGATGTACACCATGGAGATGTCCATCACGGAGATGTACACCACGGAGATGTCCATCACGGAGATGTACACCACGGAGATGTCCATCACGGAGATGTACACCACGGAGATGTCCATCACGGAGATGTACACCACGGAGATGTCCATCACGGAGATGTCCACACCATGCATACGGAGATGTCCATCACGGAGATGTACACCACGGAGATGTCCATCACGGAGATGTACACCACGGAGATGTCCATCACGGAGATGTACACCACGGAGATGTCCATCACAGAGATGATGATACACCACGGAGATGTCCATCACGGAGATGTAGAGACCACGGAGATGTCCATCACGGAGATGTACACCACGGAGATGTCCATCACGGAGATGTACACCACGGAGATGTCCATCACGGAGATGTACACCACGGAGATGTCCATCACAGAGATCACGGAGATACACCACGGAGATGTCCATCACGGAGATGTACACCACGGAGATGTCCATCACGGAGATGTACACCACGGAGATGTCCATCACGGAGATGTACACCACGGAGATGTCCATCACGGAGATGTACACCACGGAGATGTCCATCACGGAGATGTACACCACGGAGATGTCCATCACGGAGATGTCCATCACGGAGATGTACACCACGGAGATGTCCATCACAGAGATGTACACCACGGAGATGTCCATCACACAGACGGAGATGTCCATCACGGAGATGTACACCACGGAGATGTCCATCACGGAGATGTACACCACGGAGATGTCCATCACGGAGATGTACACCACGGAGATGTCCACCACGGAGATGTACACCACGGACATGTCCACCACGGAGATGTACACCACGGAGATGTCCACCACAGAGATGTACACCACAGAGATATCCATCACAGAGATGTACACCACAGATATATCCATCAGAGAGATGTACACCATAGATATATCCATCAGAGAGATGTATACTTAGGAGATAAAGATGTGGGAAAAATCAGGGATATAATTGAAATTATAATAGCTCTAAATTTCATTTAAAACCCAACGCCAGCGTGGCGTGAGGTTTTAAATGAACAATTTAGAGCTATTATAATTTCGTTATGTACCTCTGATTTTCCAACACAGTAGGTTTATCTCCATTCTACCATGACAATTTTATGAACAATTTCAGGTGGAGCTCTTTCTTTGGTTACGAGTCAATACATTGAAGCTGCCTCGCATTCCAATCTCAAGTGGTATGGCCCGAAACGGGTGTTTGGTGGCAAACCGTCAATGACTAACAAACTCAAGATTCAGTAATAACAAATCACGTTTTGTTTTTTCAATGCATTAATCACCAATCATTAACTGATAAGTTGGAAAACATATATCAAATAAGTTTAAAAAGCTTGGTTCACATTTGAAAATTCCACCGTACACCCTTTCCCCACCAGAATAGTGGCAGCAACCTCATGGCCTTGACCTTTTCTCGAAGTCATTGTTTACATTTGGAAAGATTCGACAGGAGAGCCTCTGACAGTTTGCGCAAGGTTAACCTGATTGTATGACTGAGATAGTCTTTGATATCTAATTACTGGTACTGGTACAAACTTTAAAGAACCAATAAACTTTGTTTTTTGCTACTCTTTTAACCATTACATATGAAAGATTTGTGGTTAGTCTTATGCGGAACACCAAATTTATTCTTTAAAAACTTGTGGTTAATTAATACCGAGCGATTAAAAGTGGCCAAAAAGTCGCCTGCTTCCCTCTCGCCCGCCAACGAAACCACAGACAGGTTACGTAACTCTGTCGCCAGAGCACTGCATTGACGTCATATGAGGAACGATTTTCAGTTAGTTGTATAGAAAATGTGTAGCACGCTCATCATTTTGATGATTTTCGACATCAACGATTTACATGCCAATCGCTGCTTTGTCGCCAATTGCTCCTAGGGGTCGGCGATGGTGTCCCCATGCACATATTTCCACAGGACCCCCGCAGTTTCGTGCTAAATGGGTTATGTTTTGAGAGCGGTTTAGCGGCGTTGTGGAAGCCTGAAACAATATCTTACTTGTGTTCAGATCGCTTCACGGAAGTTAAAGAATCAAAAATACTTACTAGTTGTAGTAAAATATGCATATGATTGATGACCATAAAGATTTTCTATGACACAACTTGTAACATAACGATTTCTTCCTCGGAAGTGAGGTTGTGGTCAAGTAACAATAATATTTTAAGTAGTATTATATTGACACCCACCTTGCTGCCACGAGAGAGAAATTGTTATGTTATACGCTATGTCATGCAAAATCCTATTGGCTATCAATAAAATACATATTTACTACCAGTAGAAAGTAGTCTTGATTTTGTAACTCGGTGAAAACAAACCTAAATACCATTTATCCTCAGACTGGCGGATGTTCCCGACAGGGCGCCGCCATTTTTAAAAATAAAAAAATCTGTTAGAATTAATGAGAGTTTGTTTTCATCAAGTTAGAAAATCAAGACTACTTTCTACTCGTAGTTAAATATGTATTGGAATCATAACCAAACGGATTTTGCATGACACAACTTATAACATAACGATTTCTTCCTCGGAAGTGAGGTTGTGGTCGAAGTAACAATAATATTTTAAGTAGTATTATATTGACACCCACCTCGCTGCCACGAGAGAAATTGTTATGTTATACGCTATGTCATGCAAAATCTTCGGCGTTCAATGTTAATGCATCCTCCGTTACCGGATCAAGATCAGTGGCGATATCGTTGACGAAAGCTGATAATAAATTTAACACGGAAATTTTGTAGCAGTCTATTGCTGGATCTATTCTGACATAACATAGAATCAACGTAAACATATTTGTTTTTGCTGAATTTTTATTCGGAAAGCAGACGATGTTTTGATCTTGTTCGACTGAATATTTGTTTCCATGCTTTCGAAGTACTTTTGTATGTATAAACACCTATTGCTGTGATTTACGCAAGTAGTGAGTCATGCCCGTCATTGCTAAATCCATCTTTAAAGACATATGTGTAATTTCCGACAGTAAAATCGCCGTAATTTATCGATGCATCGGTAGGTTGTTTGGTGTCCGCCATGTTAGTGGGCAGACAAAAATAGTGCATTACCGTAAACCATGTATGATTGAGCACGGAAAACAGAGACCTGTATAACGTGATTATATACCTCTGAATGACTTTAATTAACCAATCACAATCCAGTGTTTACTGAAGTCATGGAGGAATATAGATATATCCATCACAGAGATGTACACCATAGATATATCCATCACAGAGATGTACACCATAGATATATCCATCACAGAGGTGTATACCATAGATATATCCATCACAGAGATGTACACCATACAGATATCCATCACAGAGATGTACACCACAGAGATATCCATCACAGAGATGTACACCATAGATATATCCATCACAGAGATGTACACCATAGAGATATCCATCACAGACATGTACACCATAGAGATATCAATCACAGAAATGTATACCATAGATATATCCATCACAGAGGTGTATACCATAGATATATCCATCACAGAGATGTATACCATAGATATATATATATATCAGAGATGTACACCATAGAGATATCCATCACAGAGATGTACACCATAGAGATATCCATCACAGAGATGTACACCATAGAGATATCCATCACAGAGATGTACACCATAGAGATATCCATCACAGAGAAGTACAACATAGAGATATCCATCACAGAGAAGTACAACATAGAGATATCCATCACAGAGATGTACACCATAGAGATATCCATCTCAGAGATGTACACCATAGAGATATCCATCACAGAGAAGTACAACATAGAGATATCCATCACAGAGATGTACACCATAGAGATATCCATCTCAGAGATGTACACCATAGAGATATCCATCACAGAGATGTACACCATAGAGATATCCATCACAGAGATGTACACCATAGAGATATCCATCACAGAGATGTACACCATAGAGATATCCATCACAGAGATGTATGCCATAGAGATATCCATCACAGAGATGTACACCATAGAGATATCCATCACAGAGATGTACACCATACAGATATCCATCACAGAGATGTACACCATAGATATATCCATCACAGAGATGTACACCATAGAGATATCCATCACAGAGATGTATACCATAGATATATCCATCACAGAGATGTACACCATAAAGATATCCATCACAGAGATGTATACCATAGATATATCCATCACAGAGATGTACACCATAGATATATCCATCACAGAGATGTACACCATAGAGATATCCATCACAAAGATGTACACCATAGATATATTCATCACAGAGATGTACACCATAGATATATCCATCACAGAGATGTACACCATAGAGATATCCATCACAGAGATGTATACCATAGATATATATATATATATATATCAGAGATGTACACCATAGATATATCCATCACAGAGATGTACACCATAGATATATCCATCACAGAGATGTACACCATAGAGATATCCATCACAGAGATGTACACCATACATCTCTGTGATGGATATCTCTATGGTATACATCTCTGTGATGGATATCTTTATGGTGTACACTATCTTAAGTCAATGTTACAGCACAGAAGGTACGATTGCTATGAGAAAATTTACTATAGCTTTGTCAAACCATTGAGATCTCCATCACACAGATCTTCATCACACAGATCTTCATCTCCAAGACTGGCTTCAGAGATCAGTAGAGATTATCTCCCTCCCTATTCCATATCATGCCCCGTATCATCCCGAGACGCCCATATCTGACTGTAGCCGTTAGGTCGAGGGATGATACGAGACAAGATATGGAAAAGGGAGGGTCATATTCTTTTTTTCATTATATACTAACCATGTAAGAATCTATCACTTTGAAAACCTTTTATACCCAACAAAAAAACTCCTCGAGCAAAGTTTATTCAACATTAATTCAACAATTGTAAATGTCATTTTTCTTCTTGTGTTTTCGTTTTTCATATTTTTAACATACTTCCATGTCTCAATAAATTCATCCGAAGGAATGTTATCCCACTCCACTAATTCATCTAGTTCCAACAATCTATTCACTCTCCTACCCAGAGCTCCATCAGTCTATTCACTCTCCTACCCAGAGCTCCATCAATCTATTCACTCTCCTACTCAGAGCTCCATCAATCTATTCACTCTCCTACTCAGAGCTCCATCAGTCTATTCACTCTCCTACCCAGAGCTCCATCAGTCTATTCACTCTCCTAACCACTACCCAGAGTTCCATGCTAAGTCATCACTGCGCTTGAGTGTGCATCCGATCACCTGCCTTTTCATTTAAGTTTGCCGCAACTAAAATCTGACGTCATTTTCATGACATCAGCGTATTGTGTTACGTTCCATGACGTCGCATGCAAAAGGGATCAGATATCGGTTATCTTCCCCGCTCGGAGCAGAGAAGATATGGGTTATCCTGAGATATGGACCCAACAATTTCGCCAATATCGGTGTAGCAAACAAATAAATATACGGGGAAATTATTACCTTACTAAGTGATAAGTGTATCCTACAGGTCTACGACTCTACGTCATAGAGGCCTGCATCACAGCGATCTACACCAGAAGTTATTACTGTACTAATTGATAAGTGTATCCTACAGGTCTACGACTCTACGTCATAGAGGCCTGCATCACAGCGATCTACACCAGGAGTTTAAATATATTGAAACCCAGATCTCACCTCATCCTTGAACTCAATGTATGCAAAGCCCTTTGATTTTCCTTTGTAATTTCGAACCAATCGCATATCTGTGATTTCTCCACACTGAAAACAATGCAATGCTTTTAAATGAAGCAGGTCAATCTGTTGATATGCTGAATGAGTCACATGACCCATAACTGTTTCATATACTTGCACGTGACTGACACAAGTCTTCATGAAATGTCTGATATAGTTATACGTGACTGACACAAGTCTTTTCAAGAGTCTGACATAGTTATACTTGACTGACACAAGTCTTCATGGAATGTCTGACATAGTTATACTTGACTGACACAAGTCTTCATGAAATGTCTGACATAGTTATATGTGACTGACACAAATCTTCCAGGAAATGTTTATATGAATTTACAATCGACATACACACCTTGATAAACATTTCTTTGATTACATCCTCTTCCAGATTGTAAGAAAGATTGCTGACAAAAATTGTTCGGCTGTCCTTGGAAGAATCATGCTGAACAATAATACCGTGGCCTTCATCTGTAAGAAAGAGACAGTATTCTACATATCACCTACAACAGACAGTATTCTACATATCACCTACATCAGACAGTATTCTACATATCACCTACAACAGACAGTATTCTACATACCACCTACAACAGACAGTATACTACATACCACCTACAACAGACAGTATACTACATATCACCTACAACAGACAGTATTCTACATATCATATACATCAGACAGTATACTACATATCACCTACATCAGACAGTATACTACATATCACCTACAACAGACAGTATTCTACATATCACCTACATCAGACAGTATTCTACATATCATATACATCAGACAGTATACTACATATCACCTACATCAGACAGTATTCTACATATCACCTACAACAGACAGTATTCTACACATCACCTACATCAGACAGTATTCTACATATCACCTACAACAGACAGTATTCTACATATCACCTACAACAGACAGTATTCTACATATCACCTACATCAGACAGTATTCTACATATCACCTACAACAGACAGTATTCTACATACCACCTACAACAGACAGTATACTACATATCACCTACAACAGACAGTATACGACATATCACCTACAACAGACAGTATTCTACATATCATATACATCAGACAGTATACTACATATCACCTACATCAGACAGTATACTACATATCACCTACAACAGACAGTATTCTACATATCATATACAACAGACAGTATACTACATATCACCTACAACAGACAGTATTCTACATATCATATACATCAGACAGTATTCTACATATCACCTACATCAGACAGCATACTACATATCACCTACATCAGACAGTATACTACATATCACTTACAACAGACAGTATACTACATATCACCTACAACAGACAGTATTCTACATATCACCTACATCAGACAGTATTCTACATATCACCTACATCAGACAATATTCTACATATCACCTACATCCAGACAGTATTCTACATATCACCTACATCCAGACAGTATTCTACATATCACCTACATCAGACAGTATTCTACATATCACCTACATCCAGACAGTATTCTACATATCACCTACATCAGACAGTATTCTACATATCACCTACATCAGACAGTATACTACATATCACTTACAACAGACAGTATACTACATATCACCTACAACAGACAGTATTCTACATATCACCTACATCCAGCCGGTATTCTACATATCACCTACATCAGACAGTATACTACATATCACCTACATCAGACAGTATACTACATATCACTTACAACAGACAGTATATTACATATCACCTACAACAGACAGTATTCTACATATCACCTACATCAGACAGTATTCTACATATCACCTACAACAGACAGTATTCTACACATCACCTACATCCAGACAGTATTCTACATATCACCTACATCATACAAACTGATGATCATACAAACTGAACTTGTTCATGTAACCAACAAGTTGGGTGTTTTCTTTACCTTTTGACTTCTTGGTGGGGGGTTCTCCCTTGTAGCCCGGTGGTGGTTCCCCTGTAAACCCTGGGGGCAGGGGAGAGTTGACCTCCTGCTGTAACTAAAACCAGCAGACAGTCAAGACACGAGCACTTGGTTACATTGTCTTAAGTGTCATTGCAAGACGTGAGAGCTATGTTACACTGTCTTAAGTGTCATCGCAAGACGTGAGAGCTACGTTACACTGTCTTAAGTGTCATCGCAAGACGTGAGAGCTACGTGACACTGTCTTAACTGTCATCGCAAGGCGTGAGCGCTACATTGGGCGTGAGAGCTACGTTACATTGTGTTATGTGTCATCGCAAGACGTGTGAGCTACGTTACATTGTCTTAAGTGTCATCGCAAGATGTGAGAGCTACGTTACACTGTCTTAAGTGTCATCGCAAGACGTGAGAGCTACGTTACATTGTGTTATGTGTCATCGCAAGACGTGAGAGCTACGTTACACTGTGTTATGTGTCATCGCAAGACGTGAGAGCTACTTTACATTGTCTTAAGTGTCATCGCAAGACGTGAGAGCTACATTACACTGTCTTAAGTGTCATCGCAAGATGTGAGAGCTACGTTACACTGTCTTAACTGTCATCGCAAGACGTGAGAGCTACGTTACATTGTGTTATGAGTCATTGCAAGACGTGAGAGCTAAGTTACATTGTGTTATGTGTTATGGCAAGATGGGAGAGCTGGTTTACATTGTGTTGTGTGTTATGGCAAGACGAGAAAGGTGGGTTACATTGTGTTATGTGTATTGGCAAGGCGTGAGAGCTGGATTACATTGTGTTTTGTGTTATGGCAAGACGTGAGTGCTGGGTTACATTGTGTTATGTGTCCCAGCAAGACGGGAGAGCTGGGTTACATAGGGGTAGAGGGACATATAGAGGTAGAGGGATATATAGGGGTAGAGGGACATATAGGGGTAGAGGGATATATAGGGGTAGAGGGACACATAGAGGTAGAGGGACATATAGAGGTAGAGGGACACATAGGGATAGAGGGACATATAGGGGTAGAGGGACATATAGAGGTAGAGGGACATATAGGGATAGAGGGACATATAGTGGCAGAGGGACATATAGTGGTAGAGGGACATATAGAGGTAGAGGGACATATAGTGGTAGAGGGACATATAGAGGTAGAGGGACATATAGAGGTAGAGGGACATATAGGGTAGAGGGACATATAGGGGTAGAGGGACATATAGAGGTAGGGCACATATAGTAGAGGGGGTAGAGAGGGACATATAGGGGTAGAGGGACATATAGAGGTAGAGGGACATATAGAGGTAGAGAGGGACATATATAGGCAGAGGGACATATAGAGGTAGAGGGACATATAGAGGTAGAGGGACATATATAGAGGTAGAGGGACATATAGGGTAGAGGGACATATAGTGGTAGAGGGACATATAGGGAGTAGAGAGGGACATATAGGGGCAGAGGGACATATAGGGGTAGAAGGATATAGGGGTAGAGGGAGATATAGGGACACATAGAGGGACACATATAGGTAGAGGAGACATATAGGGGTAGAGGGACATATAGGGGTAGAGGGACATATAGGGGTAGAGGGACATATAGGGGTAGAGGGAGATATAGAGGTAGAGGGAGATATAGAGGTAGAGGGACATATAGGGGTAGAGGGACATATAGGGGTAGAGGGACATACAGAGGTAGAGGGACATATAGGGGTAGAGGGACATATAGGGTAGAGGGACATATAGGGGTAGAGGGACATATAGGGGTAGAGGGACATATAGGGGTAGAGGGACATATGGGGGTAGAGGGACATATAGGGGTTGAGGGAGATATAGAGGTAGAGGGAGATATAGAGGTAGAGGGAGATATAGAGGTAGAGGGACATATACAGGCATAGTGACCCATAGGGGTAGTGGCACATACAGAGGTATGGAGATACCCTGCATGTTGTGAATGATTTCTAGTCACCTTTCTCTTCTGACCTGCCTGCATCTCCACCTGAGACTTGTGTCCCGTCTTGTGGGGTTTGTGCTGCTGTTTGTGTTGCTGTTGGTGTTGCTGTTGCTGCTGGTGATGTTTGTGCTGCTGCTTGTCAGCTTTCTTCATTATAATCTTGGCAGATTTCTGATTCTTCTGCTGCTCTTCCTGCATTGCTTCCTTCTCAGCAGCCTGAAACACCAGAGTGAGTGAGTGAGTGAGCAAGTACACCACTATAAACTGAGTCAATGTCAAACTTGTTTCCATGGAAACAGGAAACAAATTTATTTCCTTAAAATCTGTAAATAGCAAAAGGCACCATTTCAGTTAATAAATGTACCAGGTTTGGTTGAAAAATCTTTCAAGTGCTCCGGAAACGAAATTATACCCCTTCCTTTTGAAACAAATTCTTTCCATGGAAATCAAGAAAACCATACATGCCAAAAATATGCAAGTAGCAAAAGGCACCACTTCTATTTGATATATCTATTTGTTGATAGATATTGAGGGGCTTTGGAGATACGCTTGGGAAACAAAATGATTAGAGGTACATGTAGGTGTACAAGAACATGTAGGTGTACAAGAACATGTAGGTGTACAAGAACAGATAGGTGTACAAGAACAGGTGGGTGTACAAGAACATATAGGTGTACAATGACGTTCAGGGGGTACAAGAACAGAAAGGTGTACAAGAACATATAGGTGTACAAGAACAGATAGGTGTACAAGAACAGACAGGTGTACAAGAACATATAGGTGTACAAGAACATATAGGTGTACAAGAACAGATAGGTGTACAAGAACAGATAGGTGTACAAGAACAGACAGGTGTACAAGAACATATAGGTGTACAAGAACATATAGGTGTACAATGACGTTCAGGGGGTACAAGAACAGACAGGTGTACAAGAACAGATAGGTGTACAGTGACGTTCAGCGGGTACAGGGACACAGGCCATATACCTTCTCTCTTCTCTCGGTTATCCTCTTCATCTGTGCTTCACACTTGACTACTGCTTGATCATACAACTCAAGACTTCCTGTAATGAAGGACAAGTTGATCATATGTTACACCGTACATTGTATATCCTTACACTACATCGTGTCAAAGTAGAACCACAGTATCCCCCTAGAAAGCAGACATTCATCGGGCCCTTTCGCCCCAATTCTGCCACCATGGCCCCCCACAAAAAAACGGGTCAAATTTCAAAGTGCATTAAAAGGAAGTGTGCTGATTGGTCTAATTGGTTGTTGAGTTTCAAGGCAAGTAACGCTGTCGCAGAACATAGCGATGAAGGTCAATTCGCGTGAAGTATGATAAGAGTTTTGGCATTTCACCAAGTTTTTCGAGCTGTTTCGCGGTGACGAGATAATATTCATGCATGACCTCATCTACGCTGCTGTACATTTGTTCTGTGTGACCTTCTCATGTGAGTTGCAAGTTTATCAAATCAGTTCTCTGTATTCTTTTCTGCGCATACTCAGCTTGTTTGCAATTTTTCAACCGCGATATCGCGTCTTTTACGTCCAGCCGCTAACTCCCCTGCATTTGATATTTGTAATTTAGAATAAAGATAATTGCTACCCACAGATGTGAGGGCATTTACTAAAAAGCTCCACCAACCATCAAGGCAATGGTAGCCATTATTTTGACAAAGTATGTCATATATTATAATAAAGTATGGCAGCACTACTTCAACACGTCAGCACTACTTCAACATGTTTTCTGGGATTATCCTTGTCTTGGTTAGCTAGGCCTAAATCTATAACATGCATACTGATATTGTAAGCAGTCAAATCTAGCTTGGCCAATTGTGATTTGATCATTTTACTTTATCATGCATAGCCTATAGCTAGGCCGGTGACAACAGTTGCATGATAGGCATTGTTTACGAACATTTTTCCATCTGGAGTAGACATGTTTAATTATAACATAATATGTGGATTTACCTCTAATTGTCCATATGGCGGAGGGAACTTTTCATTTTGCTCCGGGTCTTGGTTCTAATGACCATGGTTTAAAGACCATACCGCTGCAGTGATAACAACGGTTGTTGTAATTACGTACAGGACCCTTTGTTAACCCGGCCGTCTATGTGTTTATCTCTGGCTAAACCATCGTTTTACCAGCGGCTACTTCTTTAGGATTCTTTAGTTTCTTCGTGACCCTTATCCGAAATGCTTCACATTCGTGCTTCACGGCTGATTGTCTAGTAGAATAGGAAGTAGAGCCCAAGCTATATCGGTGGATATTTGCGTTACAGCTGAACGTCTTGTTTTTGTCATTTCAACTCCGAGTCTGCTTTCATATCTCACGTACAGTTTCAGCAGGCATTCGATAAATTTTATTATCTTACCTTCATGTAAAATACTTAATTTCATTGGTCACTGACAGTTTAACAAGTTTCCGTTGGAAAAAATATTACCCGCTGCCACGGTAACTGCCAAGCTCTCCGCAGAGAAGCAGAAGCGCCAACAATGGTATTGCTTCATAATATGACGAATGCAGTGCCCGGAGTTCGATCAGCTGTTTTTGTGTTCACTTTGTACAGGTTTATTTTACTGACTTTCACTGCTTTATTTAAGCTATTTAATACATTGAGTGGTTTGCACACTCGCCTAACGGCTCGGGTGACACTGCTACAAAGAGGCGTACATCAGACCGTATTAACCGAGGGAGAAGCAGACAACTTATATTGGTTGCTAGATTTTCACACAAGTATTATTTGGTCTTACCACCAATGACTAGCACCGCTAGTTTATACCGCATATCCGTGCCTCCATTCACGGACACGGGTCCATTTGCGGACTTATCATTTTCCTTCGTGTTTTCAGATAACATTTGTTCGAGCAGGTCTTCACACTCCACCTTATAATAAATTAATCATTTTCTAAATCTAACATAGCAAAATATTAAATAACCATCACATAATGAGAAGGCAAGACATATTAATGTCAGGTACCAAAGAACAGGTATTTGAACAAGGTATTTCAAAACACACCATGGTTTATTTAAGTTAATGTGGATAGAGAGACTAGAGATGAAACAAAGCTCTACACATTTTATTGAAGTCTTTCTCAGAGATGCCCCAACAGAAGACGTTGATCGTTTTAGTGGGTTACAAATACGATGGGGTGAAGTGCATGGACACCCAACATTGTTGCATTTATATACAGCCAGGAACAATCACCTTGACAAGCCTTGCAGGGGGGGGGGGAGCATTGTTATTGAAGAACCTAACATTTCACTCTGGATTTTTTTCTTATCTTATAATGTGAGCCTAATAAGCTTTAAGTGTTGCCGGAGAACTATTTGAAGACTATTTCATAAAATATATTATAAGATGGGATAATACCCCGCAACTGATGAAGTACAGTGCACTCTGTCAAACTCAGACTCTGTCTTTCTCAGATTTCTGTATAAAGAGGACTGAATGCACGGTCCCGACGTAATCCTTCTTTGTTGTCATAATAAAAAAGTTCTGTATCTCGGACTCTCATTATTTCGGATTTCGGACCAAACTGTCGGCCCGATAAGGTAGTTACATGTAAAAACATTGCTATATAATTCTGACTGAGCAGGAAGTCCGCTTGGCCAATAAACCTTGAATAAACATTCCGTTGATTGGTTTGTGTATTTTGTCTTATTTACTTAGCAGGAAGTCCGCTTGGCCAAGACCGCGTGGTCTAGCGGTGAACGCTTATTTACCTTTGATGCGACTAACACCAATTGTAAACTATAATTGAAGATTGAGTCGGCGAGAGCCGAGATGTCACTTGTCAGTGACTTGACTTACATTACATGATCGCACAAAAAGATGGAAATAGTAATTTTATATGTACGTTTGACAACTTTTATGAATGTCGTTGTTGATTTTATTCATTAGTTTATTCAATTTATTTAATGAATTCCTTGAAACATCGTTACTTTGCTCTTTGACAATGTTATTGTGGACCCGCTGCCGAAGCAGGTGTCCGAGAATCGTTGTTTTCAATAACATTGCGAAAAATATATGATATATATGATAAATTGAAATTTAATAAGTGTTTTCAGACATTGTGAAAAGAGATAGAATCTGTGTACTTCGGACTACTGTATAATTCGGACTTTTTAGTCGGTCCCAAGCTGGTCCGAATTAGACAGAGTGCACAGTAGCCTTAAAAAGTTGACAGATTTCGTTTACAACAAATAAGTGAAATACAACATCAGCTAGAAAATGAGTGTGATTCAAGATTCTCATCATATACAAAGTACCATAGAGATGACACTGCGCTTTACCAGCTAGCATGGGGCTTGGTGCGTCCGGTGTAGGCTTAGTATCAACTATAATGATCTTGACAGAGTTGACACTGCGCTTTTAGCAGCTAGCATGGGGCTTGGTGCGTCCGGTGTTGGCTTAGTATCAACTATAATGATCTTGATAGAGTTGACACTGCGCTTTTAGCAGCTAGCATGGGGCTTGGTGAGTCCGGTGTAGGCTTAGTATCAACTATAATGATCTTGATAGAGTTGACACTGCGCTTTTAGCAGCTAGCATGGGGCTTGGTGCGTCCGGTGTTGGCTTAGTATCAACTATAATGATCTTGACAGAGTTGACACTGCGCTTTTAGCAGCTAGCATGGGGCTTGGTGCGTCCGGTTGGCTTAGTATCAACTATAATGATCTTGACAGAGTTGACACTGCGCGCTTTAGCAGCTAGCATGGGGCTTGGTGAGTCCGGTGTTGGTTTAGTATCAACTATAATGATCTTGACAGAGTTGACACTGCGCTTTTAGCAGCTAGCATGGGGCTTGGTGCGTCCGGTGTTGGCTTAGTATCAACTATAATGATCTTGATAGAGTTGACACTGCGCTTTTAGCAGCTAGCATGGGGCTTGGTGCGTCCGGTGTAGGTTTAGTATCAACTATAATGATCTTGATAGAGTTGACACTGCGCTTTTAGCAGCTAGCATGGGGCTTGGTGCGTCCTGGTGTAGGTTTAGTATCAACTATAATGATCTTGACAGAGTTGACACTGGCGCTTTTAGCAGCCAGCATGGGGCTTGGTGCGTCCGGTGTTGGTTTAGTATCAACTATAATGATCTTGATAGAGTTGACACTGCGCTTTTAGCAGCTAGCATGGGGCTTGGTGCGTCTGGTGTTGGTTTAGTATCAACTATAATGATCTTGATAGAGTTGACACTGCGCTTTTAGCAGCTAGCATGGGGCTTGGTGCGTCCGGTGTAGGTTTAGTATCAACTATAATGATCTTGACAGAGTTGACACTGCGCTTTTAGCAGCTAGCATGGGGCTTGGTGCGTCCGGTGTAGGTTTAGTATCAACTATAATGATCTTGACAGAGTTGACACTGCGCTTTTAGCAGCTAGCATGGGGCTTGGTGCGTCTGGTGTAGGCTTAGTATCAACTATAATGATCTTGATAGAGTTGACACTGCGCTTTTAGCAGCTAGCATGGGGCTTGGTGCGTCCGGTGTAGGCTTAGTATCAACTATAATGATCTTGATAGAGTTGACACCGCGCTTTTAGCAGCTAGCATGGGGCTTGGTGCGTCGGTGTAGGCTTAGTATCAACTATAATGATCTTGACAGAGTTGACACTGGCGCTTTTAGCAGCTAGCATGGGGCTTGGTGCGTCCGTGTAGGCTTAGTATCAACTATAATGATCTTGACAGAGTTGACACTGCGCTTTTAGCAGCTAGCATGGGGCTTGCGGTGCGTCCGGGTGTAGGCTTAGTATCAACTATAATGATCTTGACAGAGTTGACACTGCGCTTTAGCAGCTAGCATGGGGCTTGGTGCGTCCGTGTTGGCTTAGTATCAACTATAATGATCTTGACAGAGTTGACACTGCGCTTTTAGCAGCTAGCATGGGGCTTGGTGCGTCCGGTGTTGGCTTAGTATCAACTATAATGATCTTGACAGAGTTGACAATGCGCTTTTAGCAGCTAGCATGGGGCTTGGTGCGTCCGGTGTTGGCTTAGTATCAACTATAATGATCTTGATAGAGTTGACACTGCGCTTTAGCAGCTAGCATGGGGCTTG